TATGTATATTTTATGTAAATTTAGTTACTGTTTGTTTGATATTATTTTTATTTTTTTTGTGATTAATTGTTTTTGTGTAATAAATTTAGTAATTCTTTTGTTTTTATGAATCTGTGTATATAACAATATGTTTTACTTCCGTATTTGTAATCCAAGTAAAGAAACATCTAATATATTTTTGATATTTTATGAAGTTTGATGTCACATTTCAAATTGGAAGTAATAAATAATTATTAGGAAAAAAAATTAATAATAAAAAAAAAAAAAAGAGGAAAATAGCAAAACCCGAACCCGACCCGAAATAACCGGGTACCCGGTTATCTCGGGTCGGGTTCGGGTAATGTTTTTTTTGCAAAAAACCCGAATAACCCGACCCGAATAACCCGAATAACCCGACCCGACCCGAATGCCCACCCCTAGTCTTATCTATAAGTTTTTATTTTTTTATATTTTCTTACTTCCAACAACAAAATGAATATTTTAAGCAGCAAAAATAAATATTTCAATCACAAAAATATAAATTTAATATTCTTATTATTCTTTTTTTGATTAATTTGCCGTGGATCAATTTAGGTCAAAGTTTTTGTATAAAATCCCAAATGGAGACCCGGTAAAATTTTGGGGTCTCTAAAAAAAAAAATTCCACAATGGGAGGGCTCTATAATTTCGAGTCTCTAAATCATGTTACGGATTATTTTATGTAGTAATTTGTTTATGGCTCAAATTTTATTCATATACGAGATTGTAGATAGTTAAATTTTATTTGAACAATCTTAATTATTTTTAATACACATTTTGATCCAAAAAATAAAAATTTCTGAAAAGATATGAAATATTGAACTAGAACCGTTGAATATGATTTCAATTGATCCCGTCCATTAAATTATTATCTAATTATCTTATTCACATCTCCTCCATGAAAATTTCTGAAATTATCTGAAATATTGAACTACAACCATTGGATATGATTTCAATTGATCTCGACCGTTAAATTTTTATCTAATCATCTTATCCACATCTTGATGATCTTATTCATATTTTCATTATCTTATCCAAGTACAGTCCATTAGATTGAATTTTCATGTTCAATCTTGGTCATCCAATTCTTATCTATTATCTATTCATTTTCTTATATAATGTTACTACTCACCCATTACACAATCACCACACATTCTATACACAATCACCTCACATTCTATATACAATCCAGCTACATATTTATAAAAATAAAATGGCACAACAAGGAAGCGACAATTCCTCCTCTGACGACGACAACCAAGGCAACACAATGATGACGACGATGTATGTGGAATACCAATCACTCATGTTGGCTTCACAGGGAAAGTGCAAAATACAACACGGAGGAACATCATCACGCCGGAATTCCATAAGAAGGGATCGAAGAGCTGCGCATGAGCGACTTATGAATGATTACTTTGTAGATCGTCCTTTATATCCTCCTGAATATTTTCGAAATAGAAATCGTATGAGGCGTGAATTATTTTTACGAATTATGAATGATATTGTGAATTTTGATGATTACTTTAGGCAAAAGCCGGATGCCTCCGGAAATCAAGGCTTCTCACCCCATGTCAAGATGACAGCTGCACTTCGTATACTCGCTTACAGATATCCTGCAGATGCAATTGACGAGTATCTAAAAATAGCAGCGAGCACATCTTCAGATACTTTGAAGCATTTTTGTCGTGCTGTCAATGCAGTGTATGGAGAGGAGTATCTTCGACGACCTAACAATGCAGACATGGTTAGACTACTTAAAAAAGCAGAGCAACGGGGATTTCCTGGAATGCTAGGAAGTGTGGACTGTATGCATTGGGAATGGAAAAATTGTCCCACCGCTTGGGCTGGTACATATTCTGGGCGCCATGGCAAACCGACAATAATACTTGAAGCCGTAGCATCATATGATACTTGGATTTGGCATTCATACTTCGGTCCACCAGGTGCGTGTAATGATCTTAATGTATTATATAGCTCACCTATTTTCAATGATGTTGTCGAAGGTCTAGCCACAAATATTCAATTTACTATAAATGGTAGAGTATACAAGCAAGGATATTATCTAGCCGATGGTATATATCCACGTTGGTCAACTATTGTTCAAGCAATTCCCGATCCACAAGGACGCGATAAACAATTATTTACGAGGTTGCAAGAGGCATATCGAAAGGATGTTGAAAGAACTTTTGGCATTCTCCAATCTCGATTTGAGTTTATTACAGGACCTTGTCGATTATGGCACAATGCACAAATTGGTGAAGTTATGAAATGTTGTATAATTCTTCATAATATGATCGTGGAAGACAACCGCAATCAAGAAGGTGACGATTTTGTCGAGCACGTGCAGCAGCAACCTGTTGATCGAGACCCGATAACGATTGCAGAATATTTAAGCAATCGTGCCGGACTTACAGATACGACTCGCTATTTTATGCTCCGAAATGATCTCGTCGAGCATGTCTGGAAAGAGTATCGAGATGGAAATTTGAATGTTTAATTTTTATCGTTGTAATCATGTTGTAAGATGGTTATTCATTATCTTGTTTTTTTTGTTTTGTTCCTTGTATTTTAAGGGATATTTGGGTCAACCATATTAATTCTCGTTTTAATTGATTGTCTATAAACTCAATATTTGAAATTATATAAAAAAAATTAACATTAATATTAATAACTTATTAGACATTACTAAAAATTCAAATTAACAATTAAAATAACGATATTTAAGATAATCAACGATAATTAGAAAATTAAACCATTAAAATAACATCAAGATACTTAATCAGATGGAGGCATTTCGGGGTGATAGACATCATCGTCAAAATTCAGTGAACGAGATGACCTTTTTGCAATAATGGCATTTTGTTGTTCAATCAACCATGCTTTCCTCTCCGGAGTTTCAACTGAGGACCTGCTCGTCATCATAATTTTGAAATCTGTTTTAATCTCAAATTTTTCTTGGTAATCCCTCATTACTTTTGCCATTGAATCAGCTTGTCTCGTGGTATCATTTACAGTGCCCTTATCTTTTTGTTTTTTAGCTTTTTTGTGCCCCATCGGCCTAACGTTGGTGTTTGATGATTCAGGTAAATTTTGGGTCTCCGGCACCGAATCTCCTCCATATTCACTCGGACTAGAAAATATGTTCGGACTTGAAGTGATATTTGCACTTTGGGAGAATTGAACTCCGATGATAGCCCTCCATTTTTTGCCATCTTGTAAAATTGTCCAGCAATGATCCAAGTTAAAATTTTTGCGCTCACTACTAAGGTATAGTAGTCTTGCATCATCCAACTATGAATAACAAAAAATAACAAACATTTAATATATAAAATATTAAATAATAAATAAAAAAAACACAACATAAATAACACTCACATTGTCAATGGCATTTGCTCCGCTTCTTGGCCTCAAAGTTATTTGAGCAACATATTCAGCAAATCTTGTACAACTTTGATTGATTTTCGTCCAGTGGGATTTCAGACTTTTTGCTGTTCTCTTTTCACCTCCATCAGGAACCAACTCGTGAAATTTTTCTTGTATTCGCTTCCACATTGTAGTCATTGATTGATTTTTTCCAATAAGTGGATCTTCACTAATCGCTATATAAGCTCGGCACAAAGATGCATCCTCGTCAGAAGAAAAATTACGACCCCTTGAACTTCCTTCAAGATCTTCCATTGCTGTTAAAAAATAATTAAATAGTAAGTCATTAAACTAAATATAAAAGAATTAAATTTATTAAACCTAAATACAAAATAAACTAATTACTAAAAAAATACTAATTAAATACTAATTAAATGCTTAATAGTTAAGAGATTTATAAATCTCCACTATGTATAAACCGCCTTTGACCTCCAATACGTGTATTTTCCTTTTTTTTTTTTTTTCTTTTTTCTTTTCTCTTTTCTAAACCTAACCCCTCGCCTCTTCTTCCCCAATTTTCACTCTGTTCACGCAACGTAACAGAGAGAACGCAGCGTAACAGAGAGAGAGAAAAAAAAAATTGCTCCTAATTATTTCAAGAATTCAAGTAAAACCCAACCCCCTACTTCTAATTTCTCCATTCTCTGAGCCATAAACTCAACCAAGTTTACAATTTCTACAAGTATTGAAGAGAAAAAAAAAAAGAAAAAAAAAACTCACAATCTGAAGATTTAGAAGTGATGAAGAAGATGAAGAAGATGAAGAAGTTGAAGAACAATTAGAGGTATTTATGCTTTTTCAATATTTTTTCTTACCGTTGAAAACCAACGGTCATATTTGCAAATCATTCAAATTTTAATTTTAATTTTAAAAAATTAAATTCAAAATTTAAATTCAAGAAATTTTGTTTTGTTTGAAGATGGGTCCCATAAAATCAGAGTCTCCAAACCATTACCTAAATTTAGAACCAAGTTTGCATATTTTGCAAAAATCTGAAAATTTAGAGCCCCTTAAATTTTCTTGTTGGTGTTGGATTTTGGTGCACAATATCTATATTATGCAGCCAAATGGGGTTTAGAGACTCCATTGGAGATGCCCTAATAAAAAAATCCACAGTGGATGACTCTATAGTTTTGAGCCTCTAAATCATGTTACGGATTATTTTATGTAGTTACTTGATTATGGCTTAAATTTTATTCATATACGAGATTGTAGATAAGTAAGTTTTATTTGAACAATCTTAATTATTTTTAATACACATTTTGATCCAAAAAAATAAAAATTTCTGAAAAGATATGAAATATTGAACTACAACCATTGGATATGAGTTCAATTGATCTCGTCCATTAAATTTTTATCAATCATCTTATCCACATCTCCTCCATGAAAAATTCTGAAAATCTAAAACATTGAACTACAACCATTGGATAGGATTTCAATAATCTCGTCCATTAAATTTTTATCTACTCACATTATCCACATCTTGATCATCTTACTCTAAGATCTCCATCATCTTATCCAACTATAATCCATTAGATTGAATTTCCAGGTTCAACCTCTACCATCCAATTCTTATCTAATATCTATTCATTTTCTTATATAATGTTACTCCTCACCCCTTACATAATCACAACGCATTCTATACACAATCACCACACATTCTATATATACACAATCTAGCTACATATTTATAAAGAGAAAATGGCACAACAAGGAAGCGATAATTCCTCAGCCGACGACGACAACCAAGGCCACAAAATGATGATGACGATGTACGTGGAACACCAATCACTCATGTTGGCTTCACAGGAAAGTGCAAAACACAACATGGAAGAACATCATCACGTCGGAATTCCATAAGAAAGGACCGAATAGTTGCGCATGACGAACTTATGAATGATAACTTTGTAGATCGTCCTTTATATCCTCCTGAAGATTTTCGAACTAGAAATCGTATGAGGCGTGAATTATTTTTACGAATTATGAATGATATCGCGCATTTTTTGATGATTACTTTAAGCAAAAGCCGGTTGCCTTGGGAAAGCAAGGTTTTCCATCCCATGTCAAGATGATAGCTGCACTTCGTATACTCGCTTACAGATATCTTGCAGATACAACTGACGAGTATCTAAAAATAGCAGCTACCACATCTTCACATGTTTTGAAGCATTTTTTTCATATTGTCATTGCAGTGTATGAAGAGGAGTATCTTCGACGACCTAACAATGCATACATGGTTAGACTACTTAGAAAAGCAGAGCAACGAGGATTTCCTGGAATACTAGGAAGTGTGTACTGTATGCTTTGGGAATGGAAAAATTTTCCAACCGCGTGAGCTGGTACATATTATGGGCGCCATGGAAACCCAACAATAATACTAGAAGTCGTAGCATCATATGATACTTGGATTTGGCATTCATACTTCGGACCACCAGGTGTGTGTAATGATCTTAATGTATTATATAACTCACTTATTTTCAATGATGTTGTTGAAGGTCTAGCCACAAATATTCGATTTACTATCAATGGTAGAGTATACAAGTAAGGATATTATCCAGTAGATGGTATTTATCCACGTTGGTCCACTATTGTTCAAGCAATTTCCCGATCCACAAGGACGTGATAAATAATTATTTACGAGGATGCAAGACTCATATCAAAAGGATGTTGAAAGAACTTTTGGCATTCTTTAATCTCGATTTGAGTTCATTATGCGACCTTGTCAATTATGGCACAGTGCACAAATTGGTGATGTTATGAAATGTTGTATAATTCTTCATAATATAATCGTGGAAGACAACCATAATCAAGAAGGTGACGATTTTGTCGAGGATCCATCAATGTACCAGGCGGTGCAGCAACCTGTTGCACTTAGTCGAGACCCGATAACCATTGCAGAATATTTAATACCGGGCTTAGATATACAACTCGCTAGTTTTATGCTCCGAAATGACCTTGTCGAGCATGTCTGCAAATAGTATTGAGATGGAAACTTGAATGTTTAAATTTTATCATTATAATCATATTGTAAGATGGTTATTCATTGTTTTGTTTCTTGAATTTTAAGTGATATTTGGGTAAACCATATTAATTTTTGTTTTTGATTGTTTATAAACTCAACATTTTAAATTGTATAAAAAAATTAACATTAATATTAATAACTTATTAAACATTACTAGAAATTTAATACCAATTAAAATAACAACACTTAAGATAATCTATGATAACTAGAAAAAATAAATTATTAAAATAATATCAAGATACTTAATCTGATGGGGGGATTTTGGGGTGATAAACATCATCGTCAAAATTCAATGAACGAAATTATCTTTTTTGTAATAATTGCATTTTGTTGTTCAATCAACCATGTTTTCTCCTCTCTGGAGTTCAAACTAAGGATCTGCTCGTCATCATAATTTTGAAATCAGTTTGAATCTCAATTTTTTCTTGGTAACCTCTCATTACTTTTGCCATTGAATCAGCTTATCTCGTGGTATCATCTACAAAGCCTTTATCCTTTTGCTTTCTAGCCTTCTTATGCCCCATCGATCTTACATTGGTGTTTGATGATTGTGGTACATTTTGTGTATCGGGCACCGAATCCCCTCCATCTTCACTCGGGCTAGAAAGAAAGATATGGACTTGAACCCATATTTGCACTTTGTGAGAACTGAACTTCGATGATAGACCTCCGTTTTTTAACATATTGTAAAATTGTTCAGCAATGATCCAAGTTGAAATGTTTTTGCTCAGTGCTAACGTATAAGAGTCTTGCATCATCCACCTATGAAAATTTAAAATTAGCAAATAATTAATATATTAAAATATCAAATAATATAGAAAATAGCATAACAGAGCATAGTAAATAAAACTCACATTGTCGATTGAACTTGTTGCACTTCTTGGCCTCAAATTTATTTGAGCAATACATTTAGCAAATCTTCTACAACTTTGACTGATTTTTGTCCTGTGAGATTTTAGGCTTTTTGATGTTCTTTTTTCACCTCCAACAAGAACGAACTCATAAAATATGTCTTGGATTCGATTCCACATTGTCGTCATTGATTGAGTTTTTCAATAAGTGGATCTTCGTTAATTGCAATATAAGCTCGGCATAAAGCTATATCTGTTGGTCGAAAACCTACACGCAAGTGCACGTATCGTACAAGTAATATAGTGGACAATTAAGTCCGGATATCGAACCCACAGGGAATATTTAATTACTTAATCCTAGACGCTAAATTCTACCAATTATTATCAAGCCCACCCTACACAGTCGATTTTTGAGAGAATAAACTAAATTAAACTAAACTAAAAAGCACGCGAAAACAAGAAAGTAATTTGAACACGAAGATTAATCAAAGTAGACAAGCCTAGGTTTTTATTCTTCCCCCTATGTGATTATTATTCCCCCAATTCCTTCAATTATGCAAGTTATTAACCCGGATTATTAACCTGAGATGCTAAAATAATCATAACCCGCTTCCGCGTGTATTACGATTCTAATACTCTAGATTCAATTACTATATTTCTATGCAATTAATTCTAGAACACAACATTAAGCACAAATCTCAATAATGGCTACCTAAGAGATTAACTATATTCCTATGTTAATACCACAAAGGCTTTCTACCACAGTTCTAATTATTAACCCGATCTTCCGATTCATGCGATTAACAATAACATAAAAGCACATAAGGTGATCAAATTCATGCACTTAATAAAACAAGTAGAAGAAATAATCCGGAATTAAAACTTGCATAAAATTATAGAAAAGGGTTCATAAATCCCACATAGGGTTCTAAATAAAATCCTAGAAATAAATAATTTAGCTACTCATGATTAAAGGAAAAACGCAAATAAAATAAGTCATAAACAATAAATCTATGCTTAGAGTCTTCGAATTCTTCGTCTTCGTTATTGCTTTGTTGCTCTTGAAATTGCGTAAAAAGATCCCTAATTGTGTGCTTGGCTTGGTCTTATATAGGGTGAAGAACTTGGGGAAGAAGGCAGTTTCCTTGTGCAATTAAAATTCCTTTACTGCGCAACTTCGGAGTCTCGGACGGGGGTCTCACAATTTGAACTAAAACTGGGACGGGGGTCTCAGCTTTAAATCTTCGGAATTTTGATATTTTCACTTTTGACCCATATTTTCGCCAAAATTGCAGTTTTGACCCCATACTTTTCCAATTCTTCAATTTGTACCTAAAATACAATAAATCAACTTTTTAAGCACCAATTATCGTTAAAACACACCAAAAGCTCAAATAAAAAGATATGATAAAGTGTAAAAATATACACTTAACACACCCCCAAACTTGAACTTTTGCTTGT